GCTTCTCCTTGGGGATGTCTTGCAGGAAGTGAGCCTTGCCAGCTGAAGCAGGTAACTGGCTAAGGCAGCTGCACCCTGGTCCGACCATCAGAAATCAACAGACCCGAGAACTAGAAAGGCAGGGATCACCAAGCCATTTACCTCTCCACCCTTCAATTAACCCCACATATGTTTATCGGTCAGGTTGGCACAGTAAACGTTAACTATCTCGCCATCCAAATCATGATGATCTGTTCTACTTTGGGAAACAACTCCTCCTCACTCACACTGTGATTGCCCTCCAACCTGAGGGCTCATCACCTGGTGCTGTTTCTGACAGTGTTCTGCTTCTATTCTGAGACTTGCAGTAGCTGACAATGTTTCCATGCTATCCGTAGGGTATTTTCGCTGATATGGACAGTTCTGTTTCTTCTTTGTAGTCTGTTCTTAAGTCTGAGGTTCTGCTGAAACCTGTTCACTTTGGGTGACCGTGTTGGGATTTAAAATACCAGTGACACAGCTTTCGACATCACAGCCACATAGCAACATGCAAGTGGTGGGAAGAGAAATTAGAAATATGAAAAGTCGCATTTTTCCTATGTATTTATAGATGCATGATCAGTGCTTTCCTAGAATAAACATAGTTGATTTATGTTTGGTGTGTATAAGTTCTAGGTAACTCATGTTTAAAAACAGTGAAAAACCTGTTGGCATTTGGATATCTATCAGAAAAGTTCTATGTATCTCTGACTATTAATGAAGAGATAATATTTTTCTTAAGGGCAAGAGGGAATAATTTAATCTAGAGCCAAATCTGTGTTAGCTGTATTAAAAAACAAATTAAAAACTCCAAGCAATTGTATTATAATAATAGTTATTTGAATGTATTTCAGTATTTGTTCTTTTTATACACATTAGAAATTTACTAATCTTAGAAAAATTGAAGTTAGTTTCATTAGTCAGCTTTATTTAATCTGGCAGGGTTTTTGTAACAACAAGCAGTTTTTATTATCGCCTTAATCAATAAAACATCACTTCCACATGCTCCCAACCCCAGCCACAGTCAATTTCACCTTTGAATGACCCCAGAGGAGAGAGTACAGCATCGTTTATTAGCGCTTCCAAGGCTAGGAATCTTGACAAGGGCAAGAAACCTCATCATTTCCTCACAAGAGCATCCGGTAGATTCGAACTGCTCACCCAATGATTAACCTACTGCAAAGGAGAGCTCCTTCCACATGCCCCTATAACATTAAATTATTTAAAAAGTAGATAAAATATATAAATGAAACCAATAAATACGTATATATGATTAGTCTATTGTGATGAAGAAATCTAAAAGATTTGGGGACAATGAATATGTGATGATAAATGCACAATATTTTGTAGTAGTTGTTATGAAATATTAGTTACAATTATTTACACTTCATTCTTAGAACATCTCAAATGGTAGGTATCTGCACAAAAAATTAAAATTTGCTCATCATTTTTCTCTGAAAGAAAATTAGGTGATCAAATTGTGCATTTTACTATACCTATAAAATGTCTATAAAAACAACACATGAATATATGTAATCAATAATTGTGGGTCATCACAAACATATCTGATATTTTAGTTTAAAAGTAACCATGCTTCTAAAGAAAAAGATCATATTATAAAATGAAGCCTAATATTTTGAACTAGATTACTTTTTTCCCAGAACAAAAGTGAATTCAGATTTGTATGAATATGCATTATTAGATTTCTCATTCATTCTAAACCATTTATGATATTTCATATATGAAATGTTAATCATACATGTTAGAAAATCTCTTGAAAATTGCTGCCCTTATCCAAAACTTTCATTAAGAAGAATTGATTTCGTATTACCACTTTTTTTTTCGTTTAGCCATTAATAGGCACTAAATGCACCATAAATAGTAAGTCAGGTGCTATCTGTGGTAGCTGAGAGCCTGTGGAGAGAAACAGTAGTTATACAAATAATCACCTACATGTATTTGTAACAAGTGCTTTAAAGGAGAAGTACAGGCACTGTAAGAATAAAACAAAAGACCTGCATCTCTTCATAAGGAGAATCAAGGAAGGTCACACTAGATTTTCTTAAGATCACGTTTTTGGTGTGGGCCATGAAGTGGGCATGGCCACCGTTAACTAGGAAATTTGTAGATGGCCAAATAAACAGTGACTGTGGATTGAACTAGGAAGGGGCAGTAGGAAAGGAGAGGAACAGATGGATCCTAATATATTTTGGAGGTAGTATTAACCAGACTTGGTCATGTGAAGAGAGCCTTTTGAGATGGAAAGTAAGTTGGAAAAGGTTCTAGATTTGTGCTAAGCGTGCTAGGAGCGTGGTCTTGCATTTGTTGAAGTATGCTGGGGAAGGTCCACTTTTGGAGAGAGGGTCATGAGTTCAGTTATTGATGTACTAAATTTCAGACGTCTGTGAGATAGTCAAGTAGGTATTTCAAGCTGCAGGTTGAATATGTAGAGCTGAACCTCAGAAAATAAACAAGAGTTATTTCTAGGAACCATTGACCTTAAGAACCCAAAGTCCACAAGTACATGGCATGATGGTGAGAGAATGCGGGTGCAGAAGAAAAGGGCTCTGAGATGTTCTACATTTAAAGGTCAAATAACGAAAGAAGCAGCCGCAAGAACGAACATGTCAGAAGCTGTCTGAAAGGCAATGAAAAGCCAGTCTTACCTGCTGCAGGTTAAAACAACAAAGTCAGAATTTGTGAGTTTCACATGGAGTAGGAAATCCACATGTGATAGCAACTACCTATAAGAACCAAAAGATATAGCATCTGGGGTCTTAAAGGCTTGGAGATAAACAGGCGTCCATCTAGCTGAAAAGCAACAAAGCCCACTTGGAAGAAGCACACCAGCCTGTGTGATCCTGAGGTGTCGATGGGATTAGGTATCAGGCATCTAAGACCCAGAACAAAATCATACCCAATGTGAATGGGGGGAGGGAGGGCATGGAGTAGAGACCCAATCAATTGCCATCTGTGGACAATTGGACATCTCCTCACAGAGGGTCACAGGGAGGAGATGAGCCAGTCAGGGTGCAGTATAGCATTGATGAAACACACAACTTTCCTCTAGCTTTTTGGTGCCCCCTTTCCCCCACT